GTACTAGTTTTTGTGTGTGATGTTTCAGACGTGCTACTTTTGATCTTAAAAATGAAATAATAAAATAATGATTAAAATAACATTAAAAAAATTAATCTAATAAATGTTATTTACATATATTCAATTTTTTATTATTTTGAGAAGCTATAATATTTGAACTATTATTAGTTTTATCATCTCTCTGCATTAACAGAATCTTAATTATGATTAAAATAATATTAAAAAGTTGAGTTATTGAGTTTAGGAATAAAATTCATAATTTAAGAATTTTAGATAGTTCCATATCCATCACTATAGTGTTTGTCTATTATTATTTGAGGATACTGCCTTATAAATTATATCTTATTTTTTTCTTAGGATTTCTTAGGTAATAAATTAAATAATGATTGATTGTTGAGTATTTATATTTTTAACTCATTGACACTAAAATCCTTCAATTTCTTTAGTATTGTCAACAATACAAAAAGTCATTCCTTCACTAAAAATGACTTTTACAAACTCGTTGCAATATCTTTGTAACACATAAATTACAGTTAATAATTTTGAATCAAAAAAGGAGAATATGACAAACTCATTGAAATGAAAAGAATTAGAATAAATATACAAATAAATAGTTTTTAATAAATAAACAAAAACCTGATTAAATGTTAGATAGTACATGACAATAACCGAAGTATATAGTTAAATTCAGTTGAGATATAATGAAACAGATAATACAACTAAAGTAATACATAATATGAAAAGGTATTAAATTATAACTCAAGAAATTTGAAATTGATAAAAAAGATAATAAATAATTATTTATAAGAAAGAGAATTAGTTTAAATAATAATAATTATTATTAAAATATAAGAACTTAATATTATGGATATTGTTTGGGGTATTTCAAAAGCAGATTATCATAGTTGGGAATCAGTAGTTGTTTCAAAAACAGAATATGTTTCTCTTGATATATATTATTCAAAAACATATGATGAAGAATTAGAAGTAGTAATTTTTCTAAATAGTATAGACATTTCTATTGGGTCTTCATTTAAGATAGAAATAGCACAAAAAAGGAAAAATGGGTTTATGGTTCAATGTACATTTGATGAAGGAGAGTTATTAAGTTTTGGAATATCCTACATTGCATTTCTGCCTATTCCTAATATTATTGAAAAGAGAGTCAATGTTTCTTCTCAAGAAATACACCAAGATTTATCACATACATTTATTGGTGGGATTAGTGCTATGCATCATGTTCCTAATAGTTTTGATTTATCTTTATCAACTGGAGGGTATAAAACAAAAAACTACACTATTCAATATTTAAAAATTAATAATGACCTTATTGGGGATTCTCCTGATCATTGTTTAACTTGTTTATATTCACCAAGTGTCTCTAATCAAAATGGATTAGCTTTTGTTAAGGAATTAAGTACAGCACATCCAGGATGTGAAGCATTACCAATATTACATAATTTCTTTAGTCAATCAAATACTATTCGAATTTCTACATTTCAAAACCAAAGAAAAGATGGTATTATAATATCTCTCTTTTCAGATCAAACAGAGAAAGTTACATATTGTGTTCTTCTACTTAAGATGAAAGTAATAAAACAAATAACAACCACAGAAATGAAACTCTATCAACCAAAAATAATATGTTATTTATGTCAATCAAATACAGCTGATTGTGTTTTTAAGTCATGTTCTCATCTTTCCATTTGTTCAAAATGTTTAACAAAAATAAAAGAATTTGGTTCTGCTTTTTGTCCTGTTTGTGGTATTTGTTCAGAGATTATAATCATTCAATCTAATTAACTGTTTCAACTTTTTTCACTAATATATGCACCTTTTTTACAATGATAAAAATGGTAAAAATAGATTATATAAGAAAAAATAAGAAACAAAAATACCATAAAACTCCATTCACAATAAATATTATTAGAGAAAGAATTTTTAAGATCTTTATTGAAACAAAAATTATTCTACTCCTTGTAACCCAAAACCAAAAATTAACTTCTATAAGACTCTTTTTCTTCTCCATTTCCAGAATAAATAGGTTCACCTTAAGTTAGTTTTCATTTTTGTTCTCTTGACAGAAATAAAAGATTAAAATAATTGAAGATAATTCATCAAAACCCCACTGCCTCTGTTCTAATTTGAATGAATTTTACTTCCCATTATACAATTAATAGAAATTATTTTCGTTCTTTTTCTTGATTAAGTTAAGTACTAGCAGTACTAGCAAAAGGACAGAAAAAAAAATAAAATATGGGTCATGGAAAATATTTAAAATTCTTGATATATCTTTATTTTAGAAGAAACTAAATACTTCTCAAGTAAAAAAAAAACGAAAAAAAGTTTGATTTGAATTAAAAACAATGACAATAATAAAAAACACCCTATCTATTTAAAGGAATCATTTGAATACTAATATTCATTCATTCTTAATATGTTTACACAGATTCCCATTGATTTGTATTCATTATCAAGAAGTTCTCAAAAAGAAAAAGTTCCATGTAAAATTACTTCTAGAAAATTAAGAGACTATCAGACTTGCCAACAAGGTGTATTTGTTGGTCTTCTTAATCAATTCTGTGATATTACTATTACAAAACCACCAAAGAAAGCTGTTATTACTCATCAATTTATTAAAATTAAGTCCATTTCTTTTAGTTATAAAGATTCAATTGTAATTGAAGAATTTCTTCAAAAACGATGTAATGATCATAAAAGTTATGATCTTTCACTTGGTTGTTCTGAAAAAACTGCTAATAGACGTTTTCAAACAAATAAGAAAACCGAAGTCTTACATCTTTTACTTGATTTTTTAACAGAGTTTGGATATTTCTTCGAAGTTAATACAACAAAAGGTAAAAAAGGAACAATGAAACTTCAAAATATTGAAAAAATATATTGTGATGGGAAATTTTTAATGGGTATTAATGACATTTATGATTATGGTTTCAGGATAAATGATATTGTTTGTCAAATGCTTGATAAGAAAGAAGAATTTATTTTACTTAAAAATGAACCAACTATTCGCTCAATATTTGAGTCAGAATCTGTGTAATTTATTTTTATATACTTATTCTATTTTTCTTTTTTTTTTTAATTTTTTAGAATATTGTTTATTTTTTGTATATATTAATAAAAATATTTTCATAAACAATTCTATTTTTTTTGTATTTCATAACCATTTTTAACTCCTATTATTAGCCAGTAAAATTAGTTTACCATGAAAAATAAATGAGAATATTTTTCTTTTATGAAATTATCTTCTTTTATTTTTTTAATATAACAGGAAATTCTTTGTTGTGTCTATTTCTTCTCATATATTTTTTAGTAATAATAAATACTTTAATATATGTAATATGAAAATACTATTTTAAATCATTTTTGAATATTCTAAATGTTTAAAACATCTTTTTACAATTCAGATTATCCATTACATAAATTCTATTATTAATAATATTTCAATAATTTCTATGTTTAAAAAATTAATATTAATTTACATTATATTTTATGTCCCATTGAGATATTGTTCATTCCATTAATTATTTGCCATATATTTATTTTCTTTTTTTTTAAATCATTTGTTTACTTTAATATATTATAATCAAACTTTCAGTATTAACAATAGTACTTGTATGTTAAAAATAAATTAACGAAATTTTTATTATTGGATTTTTAAAATAAACATTGAGAGAATTATGTGTTTTTAATAAAAATCAATTATATTAAAAATCTTTTTAAGAATTAAAAGAATATCCAGTTCAATACAGTTTTAATTCATAACTTTAACAACTATTAATCGTTTTATTAAAAAGCCATTCTCTTCACTTGACTGATTAAAATATAAATCTTCAGCATGATATAACATTGATGTGTTATAACAATAACTCTTTGCAAATGGTGGTTTGTAAATAACTAACCCATACCCAGGAGCTCCAATACATAATAGACATTGACTTCCTTCATTAATAACAATACCAGTTTTTACTCCTTTTCTTGGATTATATTTCATGAAACTATCTTCAATAGTAAACAGATAATGTTCAGACACATAATTCCATTCATTTATTTTGTTTATACCACTTTTAACAAAAGCACCAAATCCATGTTGTTGTGAATCAAAAATAACAATATAAATATTATTTTGATTATATACTCTTTTAAATAATGTACTTCCATCATATCCATCAGTAATTGAATCAAATATAATAAGAGAGCGTTTCATTCCAGTTTCATTTTTCATTATTGGAATATGTTTTTTTAATACATCCATTTGTTTTATTCTATAATTATTCTTTGTATCTTTCTTTTCTATTTCTTTTTTATTTATTACTTCTTCATCTTCTTTCTTTTTAACATCATATTCTTTCTTTTTAACCTCATGTTCTTGTTTTTTTAAATCTTCAACTTTTTTTGTATCATCTTTTTGTTGTATTTCTGGTATTTTTTCTTTTTTGATAGTATCATTATATTTCATTTTACTCACTATCTCTTCAATTTTATCAATTCTCATAGTCATTTGAGATTCTCTTCCATATTTTTTCACAATTGAATGTTTTTCATCTTCTAACAATCCAGCATCATCTAATAATATAATTCCTTTTCCTAGCTCATCAAATTCATATTGTTTTAAGATAAATTTAAATAATTGGTTATCCATAACATTTAATTGTTCAACCATTTCTTCTGGATTAACCATTAATTCATTTTTAATATTTACTAATTGGTTATATACAACTACATCAACTCCAAATTGTTTAAATATATTATTCTTTATTTCTTCATTAACTTCATGAGTAAAAACAAAATTCATTGCATCATATTCATTGTTAATTCCAAACATTTCTAATATCTTTTTTTCATTGATACTTTTCATAACATTTACAATTCTTTTCAATACATCACAGACATAAGGTTCTGTAATTTTTTGAATATCTTCTTCAAGTAACTTAAATTCCTCTGAAAGTGTCATTAATTATTTTAAGTTAAATTTGATTTTTTTTTCTTTCCATCTTAAAATAAATACTTTTGAAACTAAATTTCTCCTACTTTTTATTCTTCCTATTTTCTTTCAATTTTTATTTTCCTTCTTACTAACTATTTCTTTTAATAAAACGAATAGAATAACTTTTATTTATTTCTTCATCTAATTTGATAATTATATGAATGGAATTGAAATAATATCATACTATAATAGTATAACAAAATGAGTAATTAAAACCAATATAATAATAATCTAACAATAACACATAATAGCTTGTATTTATATTTTATAAAAGAATAAAGTAGTTTTGTTTTAATTTTATTGATAAGTATAAAAGAAATATTACTTTTTTAAATCTTTATCTTTTATATTAAAATTTTTATTAAACTCTTCTTCTTATTATTAACATTTCTTCTATTTACCTTTTTTCTTTTTTACTACACTCTCTTTTGAATTAAAACAGTATATTCTCATAGATATACAATGTTTCAATTCATAATGTGAACAATCTCTTTCTTTTATTAATTACTTCTAATTTTCTGTTTTTACATATTTATATTTTTTTTTTTTTTTGAAAAGATTAATTCAATTCAAATCAAAAGACGAAGTATTGTTTATTATAATAAATAATTTAGTTAATTATTAATTAACTAAATATTTAGAAAAATCTTTTTAAAATTCCAATTAATTTTCAAAAAATCTCTAAACGAATATATTTTATTTCTTATAAATTCATGTCTTATAGATTCATAAGAACTTCAAAATATAGACATGTCTTTGGTACTGAATTTAAAAATGACCAACAATACAGTGGAACTAAAATGACTAATTCTGCTTGGGACTCTAATATAATAGTTTGTGGATATAAACATTTTTCAATGATTTGGGATGTGGCTGGAGGAGGAGCTTTTGCTGTTATTCCTTACACTAGAATTGGAAAACAATGTGGTATTTGCCTTGTTAGTGGACATAAAGGAACAGTTCTTAATCTTGATTATAACCCTTTTAATGATGATTTAATAGCTTCAGTATCTGAAGATAGTATTATACGTATTTGGGGAATACCACAAGAATGTCCAGCAGAAAATATTCGTGAACCTCTTCAAATTCTTCAAGGACATAAGAGAAAAGTAGGAACATGTAATTTTAATCCATGTGCATCAAACGTTTTAGTAACTTCATCGGCTGATACTACTATTAAAATTTGGGATATTGAACAAGGTGAAGAAATGTT